AAACAACAGACTGGTGAGCTCTGCAATACAAAAGGCCTGGAAGTCTACAGAGGACAACAGTGGTGGATTATCGTAGTAAAGAACCCCTTCACAACATCCAGCAAAGCGAAGAACATTCTCCAGGAGGTAGGCAGATCAATATCCAAGTCCACCATACAGAGATGACTTCACAAGAGCAAATTCAAAGGGTCACCACAAGGTGCAATACATTCAAAAGCCTCGGGAATAGAACGGCCAGATTATATTTTGTAAAGAAAGTATCTAAAAAAGCCAGTCCGGGTATTTACAGTTAGCCCAATAATTTTTTCCAGCTCTGAAAAGGAAGCGATTGTTCAAAATACACCTTTCTGTGATGGAAATTAAGATTCAAATTGGACAGCGTCTTTTAATGATAGGTGCTGAAACAACTGCCTGACTTGTACTGCGTGAGTGACCTCTAGAGGCGAGGTCAGGAGGTGAAAGGAGCTGCTAGAGAATTCAAAAGAAGTCGTTGCTTTTTTGTCATTATGTTGTTTTTCAGTGGTATGACCCTCACATGACCCTCACATGACCCTCACATGACCATCACAGTGACTAGGTGTATATTCACTTGCCAGGTTTTTTATCATAGGAAAGGAGAACCACCACCATATTTATCACACTTTATTTAGAAAAAAACAAGGGTTAAGTGTGACATTGGTCTCTTAGAGAGATTGTCAGTATGACAACAATTGTTAACTGTGTAATATGTTTAAGCCAAAAACTGATTGAATATGTCGGCTGTGTGTAGTGTTGTTGTTAACAGCTGGTCCAGTAACTGCTGCAGGTGCAATAGAGTCTCTGCCTCTCTGTTTCTTTGTCTCTCTGAGTCTATGTAGATATCAGTTTGTCATGGTAACAGATAAATGTCAAGCTGCTGACAGACGCAGGATTAAGGACCTCATTTACAACTTCATGAAATCATGTGTTAACAACACACGTCCACACACACACGCGTCCACACACACGCGTCCACACACACTCAGATGCAGAAAGGAGTAATTATAGGTCCTACATTATCTTCCCAGACGCAGCAATGATTAGAGCAAAGAGGGGCGCCCGTGTGTTTACCTTATTAGTGGGTTATGCCTTTTAAATTCATTAGGGGTTGTTTAATATGCAGCGACTCATACAAAAAACGCATCCTCTGAGAGATGAAAGACCTTCACAACTGATAAAAATAGAGATGTATAACTGTGAGATATTACACGAGAGAGAGAGTGGTTGTCTGACAGCGGACACGGACCGAGATAAAACGAGGATGAAACGTTTCTGTGTGCTTCATGTCGTGGTTTTGTTCCGTCAGGCGTTTGAAACCATAAACTGACAGAACCCGTCTGACAGAACCCGTCTGACAGAATCCGTCTGACACTGCGGCAGCGACAGCAGCCGATTCGAACACAGCCTGAGCTGAGCAACGCACCTGCTATTGATTAGCAATATGCTAATGGACCCTGTGTTTGGTCCGCCCCGCGGGTAGAACGTGCAGGAGGTCAGGGTATCTGGGACGGGCTAATTAAGGAGGAGATATCCCAGGAGGCCCTGGAGGAGCACAGGGTTTGGCAGCCATCAGTGACACACCCTGCCTCTCATGTACTTCCTCCTGGGAGGAGAGAGAGAGAGAGAGAGGGAGGGGAGGAGAAGGAACTAGGGAGACAGCCAGTGACAGGTAAAAGAGTACGCCGTTACAGGCAGTGTTGGACAGATATTACGAGACAGAGGTTATCTAATAAAGTAAACCCAGAGGTCGTTGGAGGCCAAGGAGATGAGAGGGCGGGCCCAGGAAAAATGCAAACAAGAAATCATGTGGATTATTAAAAATGCAATTATACCTCCCTCCGGAGTAATCACACCAACACACCTAATCAAAAGTCTCACATGATTACATCCGCCCCATAACTGTGTTGATAAGACACACCCCTCTGGTGAACAAAGTTAAACCCACATCTGCTTGATGCCTTATTTGCATAATTATGAATAGTTTGAGTTCCACATCTCCAGTCTCTGTTTTGGCTGGATACCACATCTCCAGTCGCTGTTTTGGCTGGATACCACATCTCCAGTCTCTGTTTTGGCTGGATACCACATCTCCAGTCTCTGTTTTGGCTGGATACCACATCTCCAGTCTCTGTTTTGGCTGGATACCACATCTCCAGTCTCTGTTTTGGCTGGATACCACATCTCCAGTCTCTGTTTTGGCTGGATACCACATCTCCAGTCTCTGTTTTGGCTGGATACCACATCTCCAGTCTCTGTTTTGGCTGGATACCACATCTCCAGTCTCTGTTTTGGCTGGATACCACATCTCCAGTCTCTGTTTTGGCTGGATACCACATCTACAGTCTCTGTTTTGCGGGATACCACATCTCCAGTCTCTGTTTTGGCTGGATACCACATCTCCAGTCTCTGTTTTGCTGGATACCACATCTCCAGTCTCTGTTTTGGCTGGATACCACATCTCAAGTCTCTGTTTTGGCTGGATACCACATCTCCAGTCTCTGTTTTGGCTGGATACCACATCTCCAGTCTCTGTTTTGGCTGGATACCACATCTCCAGTCTCTGTTTTGGCTGGATACCACATCTCCAGTCTCTGTTTTGGCTGGATACCACATCTCCAGTCTCTGTTTTGGCTGGATACCAAATCTCCAGTCTCTGTTTTGGCTGGATACTACATCTCCAGTCTCTGTTTTGGCTGGATACCACATCTCCAGTCTCTGTTTTGCCTGGATACTACATCTCCAGTCTCTGTTTTGCCTGGATACTACATCTCCAGTCTCTGTTTTGGCTGGATACCACATCTCCAGTCTCTGTTTTGGCTGGATACCAAATCTCCAGTCTCTGTTTTGGCTGGATACCACATCTCCAGTCTCTGTTTTGCCTGGATACTACATCTCCAGTCTCTGTTTTGCCTGGATACTACATCTCCAGTCTCTGTTTTGGCTGGATACCACATCTCCAGTCTCTGTTTTGGCTGGATACCAAATCTCCAGTCTCTGTTTTGGCTGGATACCAAATCTCCAGTCTCTGTTTTGGCTGGATACCACATCTTCAGTCTCTGTTTTGCCTGGATACTACATCTCCAGTCTCTGTTTTGGCTGGATACCACATCTACAGTCTCTGTTTTGGCTGGATGCCACATCTACAGTCTCTGTTTTGGCTGGATACCACATCTACAGTCTCTGTTTTGGCTGGATACTACATCTCCAGTCTCTGTTTTGGCTGGATACCACATCTACAGTCTCTGTTTTGGCTGGATACCACATCTACAGTCTCTGTTTTGGCTGGATACCACATCTCCAGTCTCTGTTTTGGCTGGATACCACATCTCCAGTCTCTGTTTTGGCTGGATACCACATCTCCAGTCTCTGTTTTGGCTGGATACCACATCTCCAGTCTCTGTTTTGGCTGGATACCACATCTCCAGTCTCTGTTTTGGCCTTATAATGAGGACAGGGACATATTTTTGCAGAGTCCGACAGCCACCGATGATTGACAGTTGGATGGTTTCTCATAACTCCTCATGTAGGCAGCGTTCCAAATGACTCAGTAACACCTCTCTAGGGCACTACAGATGGACCGGACGGCATGACCGCTAGTGCGCCGTTTGGCTCGCGGACTTTCTTGTGTTCTCTGATGTCCTGCAGTAGGCTTAGCGCTGGCCTTTCCTCTCACAGGGGGCACGGTAAAACCTTCTTCATGAGCCAGCCTAACTGTATGGCTCATGAAATATGCATCAGTATGCACAGAGATAGAGAGAGGCTGAGAGAGTGAGAGAGAGAGAGAGAGAGAGAGGCTGAGAGAGAAGGAGTGAGAAATAAAGAGGGAGAGAGAGAGAAGAGTGAGAAATAAAGAGGGAGAGAGAAAAGAGGGAGAGAGAAAAGAGTGAGAAATAAAGAGGGAGGCTGAGAGAGGAGTGAGAAATAAAAAGAGAGAGGCTGAGAGAGGAGTGAGAAATAAAGAAATAAAGAGAGAGAGAAAGAGAAAGAGAGAGAAAGAGAAAGAGAAAGAGAAAGAGAGAGAGAGAGAGAGAGAGAGAGAGAGAGAAGGAGAGATGAATAAGCCGGTGGACTTTAAAAATGTGTGGCCTGGCCCAGACAGAAATAAAGCCACATAAAGCCTTCAGTCAAATGGAAAGTGACAGTTTTATTTGATATAAAGTTATGAGGATTGAAATTGGTCAGGTTAGGGCGGGGCCTGCCGAGGGCTAGGGTAGAAGTTCATGTTAGTCAACGGTGTACTAGACCTGTCATCTGTACAAACTAACTCATGAAATATTTCCACCTGATCAAACCCCTCACTCGGGTCGCTGTCCAGTATTCAGTTACAGTTTAAAGTCAGACCAACTGTAAAACGGACCTCCGGTTAACGTCTCAATTGCAACAACAAGCTGCCAGTGAATTGTTTTTTAAACGACGTTATTGATTTGCTGTTTGGAACGTGTAGTTGGATCCCACAGCTGTCAGTATGAAATTACCATTAGTCAGGGTAGGTAAGGGTGCAGTATTGCAGACAGCCACTAGAGGGGAGGCTTCGGTCTTCACAATACTATTGGTATGTCTCCAGAACTAGCTCAAAACATTTGGGGACACGTTTTGGCTTGACAGTGCCACTTTCACAAACAGTGGCCAAAAGTTCCGGGAATGTCCAGGAAAATTATACACACACTGTTTTGTTTGACAAACCGCAAGTAGGAGTTTAATGTCAAAATCACCTTACAATGTAATATTAGCTATATGTGGAACGTAAACAATGTTATCTAGCTATGTACAGCATGTAACTCACTACAGTATGTAGCTAACTACAGTATGTAGTTCATTTTAGGCAGGCACCAGACCGGGCAACTTACAGAGACAATTAGGGTTCAGTGCCGGCAGCCTTGAGCTGACGCACAAGTTATATTATCCCGCTGTTCGGGATTAGAACTAGTGACCTCTCATGTACCGGCCCAATGCTATTGACCACGGAGCTATCACACGCCCCAAAACAGTGACGGAGATTTGAACCCGCGACCTCCCGTTTATTAAACGGTTCCATTAGCCACCTGAGTCACACACCAGAGTACGTTTACCTATCCAGAACGGGCTTTTCTGTAGCTGCCTACGTGCTCTGCAATCACATGTGGATCACAGTTCAACTGAGTCCCTGTGGGATTGGACCATATCGCCTGCTGGTGCTCTGCCCCCCAATCACGAAATGCTTCCAGAGCTTTCACATTTAGAAAATAAAGTGCCGTGTATAAATGCGTCCCCACGATACGTCCTTGAGACAGGAATAATTGGAGTGTGTGCGCGTGTGTGTGTGTGTGTGTGGTGTGTGTGTGTGTGGTTGCCGCCCTGCAGCATAAATCAATGGCGTTCCCAATCTGCTTAATGGCATTCTAATGTGGCCGGGGCGAGGTCGGCCATCGGCGTCAACATCGATCTAGAATATTTATTTTCTGTCTTCACCTTCCTTTCTGTTCGGAACCTGAGAGTGTGAAAAATACAACTGGGTTCTGAGGTTGTTTTAAAAGCCGGCCGACACGTTTTCATTCCGGAGATATACAGGCCTCCGGGAGCGGCCGAGAATATTCTCTGATTAAAAAGTGTTTGATTAAAATCTATATGCGCTGTAGTGGTGACATCAGGGTAAATAAATGTTCAAACCACTGGCGGCTGATGTACTGCACTATAAATATGTATACTTATGGTTCAGAGTTATGGAGAGGAACACAACTGGTAAATGGGTCGTAACAACATAGAAATAATACAACATCCTGAATGGCTTTGGTGAGCGAAATATCAGAGGGAGTGGATCGTTTACCTTGAATTTCGGATTTCTTCCACCTTAGTTATTCACTTTTTCAGTTCATGTTTTAGGTAATAACCTGCTCTTGCAGTGTTTACAAAATGTATTCTTTGAAAAGCAGGAATGAACTAGAGAGGAAAGTCAAAGGAGAGGTAGAGACAATGAAGTAGTCTTACTACTGCAGAGTTTGATAGTGTTAATTGGTGTAAACGAGAGAAACATGTATGCCATCATCATGTATGGGCAAACACACACACACACACAACCACCCAACAGGAACTATCTGTGTGCACCCCACTAAAGGCCCGGAGTGAAAGCAAAAGGTTCCTACTCATGACAATATAACAATATTATAACGATATTTCTGTACACCTAGCCCTAAACCTAACCTCAACTTCAAAAACCTCACCTTTATGCGTAAATTCAAACTGACCCTAAACTTAACCTTTAAAGGTTAAATGTAATTCTAACCCTAAAATGAACCTGAAAATTAGATAAATCTTGCTGACAGGCCAAATACTCTTACTTTGCAGTATTTTACTTGTTTTACTATTGTAGTTGGTCAGAAATACACACACACACACATTAACGCATCCCTCCAGCAGTGCCAGAGTAGCCATTGAAAAAAACTGTCAATGTACACATCTTGGGAGATTATGAATCTGAAAGAGAAAGTTGAACAACTTATTTTGTTCCACTATTCGTATAAGAGACATCCAGCATAATTACAGTACTATACTCAGACTTTCTGAAAATGCAGTAGGCGCGAGCGCACAACCCAGTAGAAGAACCAACTAAAATACTGTAGCTATCAGCAAAGTCATTGCTAGAATATATTTTCTTTTTTAAATCAGATTAACTGTCATCATAATAACTGTACAATGTAGTAATGTCATCTCAAATGCCGGAAAAGCATTGATAACATCATCCTCAGACTGCAGAAGAAAATCCCCACCTCTCATCTGGACTCGTAAGACAGATGGTTTGACTCCCACAATGTGCCAATGCTCCAAATCTAGCAGAGGATTTCATCACATACTCCCAAGTAACACAGAAAGAACTCTCTATTCACAGCCAAGAGCCAAGATCTTTGATTAAAAAAAAACACATATGAAATGATGCTAAGTAAGTCTAGTTAAATGGATTCAGCTAATGAGAGGAACCAGCCAACAGGTACCTTTACAGGACATCTGTTTGAGGTCAGACAGCCATCAGGTCATTATAGCAAATTACAGACAGAATAGGAATTTAAAACACATCGTATTGTATTGCTGTGAGTTCCACTTTTACTAACTCTTTTAATAAACAATAGTTTGGCGTCTTCCTGTTTAATGTTTGTAAGGATTTCAGTCTTGTTCTGTCCGTACTGGTCCTTGTGTGTCATTGTCCAGTAATTATCATGTTGTAATCATTTGCTATTTGTAACACCTGTGCTTTCCCTCACCTGTGTTTAGTTAACCCGTGTTAGTTCATGTGTTTAGTTTGTTCCTCTGTATCAGTCCATGTTAGTGGTGTGTGGTTCTGTATCAGTCCATGTTAGTGGTGTGTGGTTCTGTATCAGTCCATGTTAGTGGTGTGTGGTTCTGTATCAGTCCATGTTAGTGGTGCGTGGTCCTGTATCAGTCCATGTTAGTGGTGTGTGGTTCTGTATCAGTCCATGTTAGTGGTGTGTGGTTCTGTATCAGTCCATGTTAGTGGTGTGTGGTCCTGTATCAGTCCATGTTAGTGGTGTGTGGTCCTGTATCAGTCCATGTTAGTGGTGCGTGGTC